CCAGATCCTCTGGAAGAGCAGTAAATGCTCTTTTTTTTTAAAGATTGTAATTTTATCATAGCACATACTCTTTTCCTTTCCTCCCTCCAAGTCCTCCTATGTGTCTTTTCCCACTCTCCTTCAAAATCATGGCTTTTCTTTTCATTAATTTCTATTGCATACATTTATGTATTTGTACATATATGTTCCTAAATATAACCTGAAAAAGTGCCCTTAATTACTAAACCATCTCTCTAGCTCCTAACTTCAACAATTAGAAAATGGTATCTTGCGAAATTAAAAAAATCTGTACAAAAAAGGGAAAAATTGAGTGAGCAGACAACCCACAGAATGGGAGGAAATTTTGCCATCTGTGTACACCTGACAGAGGATTAATATAAAGATAGAAAGAGGAAAAAGTGAAACAGGGATATCAACCAAATCATAATATTGGTTAATGAGCTAAACAGACAGCTCTCCAAGGGAGAGATACAAATGGCCACTACATATTTAGATTTGTGTCCAGCAGCATTCTTAATCATCAGGGACATGGCAATTAAACTCCTTTGAGATTGAATCTTACCTCAGCCAGAGAAACTACCATTAAGAAAACAAATAATGAATATTAACAGGAATGTGAAGTAAGAGGAAACCTTATTCACTGCCGATGGAAATGTATATTTGTGCAGTGAATATGGAAACCAGTACAGAGGTTTCTTAAAAAAAAGCTAATTATAGAATTTCCACAAGACCTAGCCAAGCCAGTTCTGTGCTTATACCTAAAGTACTCTATATCCTACCAAAGAGATAGTTCTATATCCATGTTAATTATTTTGTACAGAGTAACAACTAATGGAATCAGCTATCAACAGGTGAAGGGGTAATGAAAGCATGGTATATATACACAATGTTTTATTCAGGAGTTAAGAAAAATGATATGCAATTTACTTGAAAATGGATACAATTGGAAAGGTTATATTTAGTGAGATAATTCAGGTCCAGAAAGACAAATATTGCATGTTCTTTCTTACATGTGTATCCTTGTTTTTTTTTTTTTTTTTTTTTTGGTTTTTTGAGACAGGTTTTCTCTGTGTAGCTTTGCACCTTTCCTGGAACTCGCTTTGTAGACCAGGCTGGCCTCGAACTCATGTATCCTTGCTTTTAATGTATCTTTCTGTCTATCTACTTGCCTGCCTACCTACTTACCTAACTACCTACCTGTTTATCTATGGGTAAACATGTACAGGGTCTAGGTCTAGGAAACTAGAGAGGAGACTGTGAGAGTTGAAAAGGAAGATTTAAGAGAGGCACATGGAGAGGGCAATAGAACATATTTAACAACAAAGTGAAAAGGTAGAACACTGTGAGTATAAGCAGGAACAGGGAGAAGGGAGATGTGGGGAGAGTTGGGGTTCAATCAAAGTATGTATAAAAATGTGACAAGGAAACCTATTATTTTGTAAACCTATTGTTTTGTAAAATAAAATAAAAAATTAGAAAAAACAATGTTATGAGTAATACTGCAGACTTGGTTGAAAATGAAGAAATAATTCTTGGAGTGTGGTATTAGCTGTACGAGCTGCCACTGTTAAATAATGGAGGTCTATAAAAAATGGATGGCTTCTGAGGGGTCTTTCAGTTCTTTTATTCTTAAGTGACTTTTAAAAAAATGTATTTATTTATATTTTATGTATGAGTGCTCTGCATGCCAGAAGAGGGCACCAGATCTCATTACAGATGGTTGTGAGTCACCATTCGGTTGCTGGGAATTGAACTCAGGACCTCTGGAAGAGCAGCCAGTGCATTTAACTGATAAGCCATGTCTCCAGTCCATGGGTCTTTCAATTCTAAATTAGGAAGAAAATGCTTAAAGTTTGGTGTGGTGGTAGTGGTGATTTTGTGTGTGTGTGTGTGTGTGTGTGTGTGTGTGTGTGTGTGTGTGTGTAAAATTGCAGTGCTATATATATATCTCACAAAAGATGCCAGTATTATCTTTATTTTTAAATTATTTTCCCCATTTATTGTTGACTTATTGACAATTTCCTATATGTATAGAATGTATTATGATCATATTCACCTCCAACCACCTTCTTTTATCCTCTCCCACTCTCTCTGACTTCCTTCTTTCCAGTGAGCCTCCTGCTCACTTTATGCAGGACTCATTCAGGCAGCCACATCTGCTGTGTGTTCATGATTGCAATAGCCCTGCCATAACCAGAAGATGGTGTTTTCAATGCTCCTGTCCATCCTCTCCCTCTGACAATCTGTCTTCCTTCTCTTCTGTGATGTTCTCTGAGCCTGGGAATGGGTGATATAGATGTGCTGTTTAGGTCTATATTCTCATTATCACTTATTCCCAACACTGTGACCAGTTCTGACTTTCTGTATTAACCTCTGCAGAAAGAAACTTCCCTAACCTAGACTGAGAGGAGCTCTTGTTTGTGGGCATCAATGTTTAGGAGATAGTGTCTTAGTTAGGTGCTATGGAATAATCTTTCCGTACACTGTGTGAATATATGTCACTATGATTGGTTTAATAAACAAGCTGACTGGCCAATAGCTGAACAAGATAAAGTTAGGCAGGTAAGCCAAACTGAGAATGATGGGATGAGGAAGGGCAGAGTCAGATGAGTTGCCAACCAGACAGAGAATGAATCAGATACACAAAATGGCATAGAGGTAAAAGCCACGAGCCTTGGGACACCACATAGATGAATAGAAAGGGGTTAAGTTGTAAAAACTAGTTAGTAACAAGCCTGAGCTATTGACTGAGCATTTATAATTAATATAAGCCTCAGTGTGTTTATTTGAGAGTGGCTCTGGGATAGGAAAACTCTGCCTACAGTTAGGATTCTATTGCTGTGAAGAGACACCCTGACCACAGAAAGTCTTATAAAGGAAAACATTTAATTGGGTATGGCTTACAGTTCAGAGGTTTAGACTATTATCATCATGGCAGGAAGCATGGCAGCATGCATGTAAACATGGTGCTAGAGAAGTAGCTGAGAGTCCTACATCTGGATTGGCAGGCAGCAGGAACGGGGCCTGGCTTGAGCACCTGGCATCTCGAAGCCCACCTCCAGTGACACACTTCCTCCAACAAGGCTACACCTCCTAATAGTGTCATTCTCTAAGGGCCATGGAGGCCACTTTCATTCAAACCACTACAGTGTGTCTACATGTCCAGCTAGCAAAATATCAGTAGTACATTTTCTCTGAGGGCCTGTGACCTCCTCAGTGACAGGCTTTTGACTAGATTTATAGTACCAGGTATATGTTCACTCCCTTGGGATGGGTCTCAAATCCAGTTTAAAAATGGTTGATTAGCCCACAGTAGTCATGAAACTACTGTTCCAGTGGTGAATATTTCCTGGTAGGTCAGAATAGTAGCACACAAGGTCCACACCCCATCACTATCTTTAAAAAAGCCATGTATTACATTCTACTTTATGGAGTGAGTACACAGAAACGAATCCAAATGTTTCATGATGAGTGTAGTCACTCTAGTAAGAATACGATATGTTGAACCAGACATGGAGGCAAATGTTTGTAACACCAGTGCTTGGAAGGGCTCGGAAGGATCAGCCTGGGCTACACAGCTAGGTCTGTTTTAATATCAAACCAAGCCAAACCAAACCAAATTAAAATAAAGCAAAGCCAAGCCAAAACAAGGCAAGTCAGCCAATCCAGCAGAAAAAAGGCAAAGAAAGTCAAGGAAAACCAAACTAAACCAAACCAACTCAGACCAAACCAAAACAAACAATAACCAGACAAAACCAAACAAACAACACAATAATAGAAGAGAAGATACCATGTGGAAGACATTAATTTGAGAAAACAATGCAGTTTTTAAAATACAGGGTCTTATAGATATCCCAAACTGACCTTGAACTTGTTATGTAGCCAAGGATGATCTTGAATTCCTGATTCTCCTTCCTTCACCCATAAGTATTGGAATCAGAGACACACACCACAACATGCAGCATTAACTGCAGCTTTGAACAGTTAGGAAGTAGGTTGAAATACAGATTTCTTCCTGACTGCCCTTGCCTAACTTTTTTTTTTAGCTTAGTCTTCCACTTCTTGCCTTCTTTGTCTTCTTTTTTTTCAAGGTTTCACATTGTTGAGCAAAATAAATAAATAAATAAATAAATAAATAAATAAATAAACAACACAGCAGAGATATTTAAGAAAGTGTTATTTATTTCATTCTTTTTCAATTCTAGGCTTTTGAAATAATGAACAGAAGTAGTTTAATTTCTCACTTCCTGTGTAGTCACACATATAGTTGCTCATAGACAGATACATTCCTCATTTCTTCACTGTACAAACAACAATAATGAGGACAGCAGTGTACCCACACTGTGTATATAATCTACAGCCTCTAACACCTTGTGTTTTGTTTTTTCCTATTTTGGGAAAAACAGAATGGGGCAATTGAGAGCTTCTGTTCTTGTGTTACGGACCCCTTTGTTGTTTTTCCTTGTTCTTTTTAAGATGGGGTCTTGCTAAGTATCCCAGGCTGGCCTTGAGCACAGGATCCTCCTGGGCCCCTCAACCGCTGGCGTTAGAGGTCTGCACCACCTCCTCCAGCTGTCCTCTTTGTTCTTCACAGGTGACACTACTGTGCCCGTGTCATCAAAGACGCGTGGGTTAAGCCCAACAGAGTAGTCAGAAGACAGTCTTCAGAAGGGACTCCCAAGTTCAAAAGGACTCCCCCAGCTGTCCCTGAGACAGCTTGAAGATACCCCTCAAGAAAGGATATCCTGCCCTTGCTTCTGTGGGTTTGCATCCAGGATGAACCTCCACCCCACCCACATAGGGGTTTTCTTTTTTTTTTTTTTGGTTTTTCGAGACAGGGTTTCTCTGTGTAGCTTTGCGCCTCTCCTGGGACTCACTTGGTAGTCCAGGCTGGCCTCGAACTC